TTGGAGGATGGCCACCACGAGAAGCACCGACAGCTTTGCGGTCATAGCTTAAGGCAGCCGCTTCAACAACTGAGGCACGGAACATGGCCCACTTGGACTCAATGTCCCCCACCTAGGCTGGGATGTGATTGAAGTTCTCCCAGAGGTGTGAGTTGAAGATCTGTCTGACGGGCTCTTCTGCCAGGTGTTCCCAGCAAACTCTCACTACAATCAGGTTACCTTCATAAATTGCAGGTATTAATTACAATACTTAAAAAAATTAATAAACTACATACTGTAGAAGCAAAATATGGTAAATTAGATAAAAATTACCAAACTCACTTACATTTTGCCAAACAGTGAATCATCATTACGCTAGACTCTCAATTCATACTGTTTCTTAGTATTTATCATCATTTACATTTTAAAAATCAAATATTTGTCAGTAAGTTAGACACTATGGGAATTTGTAGAAGCAAAATTTGTTTTGGCATATAAAGATAGAGTCAAAAATGAAAGTTGAACAGTTAATAAAACTTACAAAAAAAGTCTAGCAATTGATTTTGCCAAATGAGCTTTGAAGTAAGGACAGTGCGTGGAAGAGTCGGTTAAATTATTGGGTGTTTATCTAAACAGGAAGCTTTACTGGAAAAGACATGTAAATGAAAAGTGTAAGAAGGCAGCAATGTCCATTTATTTCACAACTGTTTCTACCGTTTGACAGATGGATCCCTTCTGAAGCGGTCAGTTGAGGTATGGGGCTGATTTTTCATTACCATAGTGAGAGGGAGAACAGATACACAGTAGGTTGTTTTGCAACTCTATCTCAAGCTGAGATATACAGAATCCACCAGTGTGTGGTAAGACCTTCAGTGTACACAGAAGGAAATATTTTTTACTAACAGATAGCCWAGCTGCTATTAGAGCTCGCCAAGGGCCACACTTTATATCACTTCTGACTTGGGAGTGTGCCGAAGCAGTCAATCGACTGAGATAATAGTGTTACTGTTCAATGACATTAATGGTACAGAGAGAGCTGACTGCCTTGCAAAAGCTGTCAGTCAGGCCCACTTCAAAGGACCAGAAGTGGGTTCAGGATCCAGGCTGGAGAGACAATGTCACTCGACTGGCCTGGGAATGCCAGGCACTTTACAATAACAATTGTAGCACTTCACAATAAGGAGCCTGAATGAAAAATACTTTGAAGACATTTGAACTCTGATTTGAAATGCTTCTTTAGTTGAAACCAGAAACTCTGAACCGAAGAAGCTTTTAAAATGCGATGTGAAATGTCTTCAAGAAACAAGAAAATAAACGTTTCCAGTTGCCATTTTTTTCTCTCTTAGAATTGACAGATTTTAAATGACTCAGAACTGCAGCCACTCCTGCTGTGTAGAAATTTTGTATCCTTTTTTCTCACTGCCTACTGTTTAAGATACGGACGGTAGGAAATTAAATACATTTGAGATACAGTCATATCACCATGTTGATGGCACAACTAACTCATTTTAATACCTGCTCATTGAAAATTAAAAAACAGAAACAACCTAAAAGTTTTTGCAGACAGGACTCTAAAACATGACATGAACAAAATCTACAAAAATMTGTTGGTGCTTTTGTTACCTTCACAGCTGCTAGTGCTAAGTGTTAGTGTACTGTTCTTTGCCAGGACCTGAAAAGTCAAATTTGTTGGTGGGCTCGAGAAAAATAACCTTCAAGAGTAACAGGTTGATTCTGTTAATGTGACATGAACCTTTTGTTTTGTCTGATGTTTATTTCCAGTTTAATTCACGTTGTTCAAGGATGCTAACGCAACTGACAAACTGATACTTGTCTGTTGTATTTCTTTAATCTGAGAAAATAAGGTTAAAATACAATAAAATCCCTACAAATACCTTAAAATTACATATAGTAATAGGACATCACAAGCCTTTCTACACCATATTCTGTGTTTAATTGTAGGTAAGTTTGAGTAAACAGGTTGTAAATAAGTTTTGTTGGAGTGGGGTTGTCTGCAATGTCAGCTTTCTGTTATTAAACAGGAATAATGAAGACATTTACTGCTATGGCCAACTCTATCCATCCTTTCTTTTTATACTGGGTTATGGGGACCTGGGGCCTATCTTCAGTGGTCAATGTGCAATAGGCAGGTTACATCCTGGAGAGGTTGCAAGTCCATCACAGGGACACATAAAGATTTATTCACACACACATTCACAACTATTGCCAACTTCAGACTCACTTTTTTGTCATTCAAACCTGACAGATATGAATAAAAACAGTTGCCCAGGACTCGGTGTGCACAATTTGGGGCGGCTGTGGCAGAGTGGTTAGGGGAGTTGTCCTGGAACCGGAAGATCGCCGGTTCAATCCCCGTCCAGTTGACTGGCAAGACACTTCACCCGCCTTGCCTACTTCTGGTGGTGCCTGTGTATGGCAGCCTTGCCTCTGTCAGTGTGCCCCAGGGCAGCTGTGGCTACAATTGTAGTTTGCCATCATCATTGTGTGAATGTGTGTGTGTGCATGGGTGAATATCTGTAGTGTAAAGCGCTTTGTGTGTCCTGGATGGATAGAAAGGCACTATATACCGGTAAGTACAGTCCATTTACCATTCACTATGATTAATATGCTATAAAATAAGATGACGTAATATAAAAGCATCCTGAAATAGATGTTTACTGCAATGTAAAATAGAACAAGAAATCATTAAACAAAGTTCACGATAAACTGAGTACAAGTAACGGATATCTGTTTGTTCTTATGTTTCAAAAAAATCATAAACTGTCAGCTTTTTTCATGAAGACTGTTGTTTTTGGAGAGTCTCACTACTTCTAATCAGGGTTCTTATGGTTTATTTGTTAAAAATTTAATGATTAAACCAATGT